CTACGACAAAACATTCACCACGACTTGTCTGGCACAAGTTGAATGTTTATCCCCACCGAGCGGATAACTACTTATTTTCAAAACCCTACGACAAAACATTCACCACGACTTGACTGGCACAAGTCGTCATGAATGTTTATCCCCACCGAGTGGATAACTACTTATTTTCAAAATTGTCTTTTACAATTGTCGGTACATAAAATACTGTGATTTCCAAAACTTTTTAAAGTTAGTTACTGGGACGGAGTTATGCTAGCTTAACCTTACCTTCCTTCTCGATCTTCGCTGCCTCTTCTGCTGTCAGATCACCAGGTTTAAGTACAACTACAACTGGCTGATCATCTTCCTTGTCCTTCAGTTCATCAGCATCACATGGCAGAATCTCTCTCTGTAAAATGCAAAAATTAAGAGCCGTAATAAGGGGCAAAAAACCAATCAATTTCCCAACCAATATCTGCTTATTATATAAATTTCAAAAAATCTGGCATAATCAAGAGAAAAACAAACACGTTCTTATAATGGGGGGGGGATCTGTACTCCGAAGTCAAAAAACAGAAGGAATCCATATGAACAGCGCTGTCTGCTGAAATGGCAAGTGAACTACACGGGCATTATTCAGACAGAGGAAAGCCAACGGCGACTCGACGGTACCATCAAGGGACAGTTTACGCTTTAATGATCGCTTTTAATGTTTTAAAAGTCAGTCATTTCACTAAGAATTCATGTGAAATGTAAACTGGGTCACATTGCTCATTGGGTAAAGCAGCTCTGATGAAACGGCATCAAGACACTTACTGGTGACAAATCACATTAATGTTCTACTTCCTTTTACATGCATCTTATAATTATTGCTGACTTATTAAATATGTCCTAGATCCTTCTGCATCCCTTGCAAAAAAATGTAATTATAATAAATGAATTCCAAAATAATTCACACTGATTACAAAATTTTATTCAAAATACCAAAGATGTGGAGTCCAGTATGAGAGAGCATCACTAATTTAATATACGTCTCCTATTTAACGCAGAGAAACAAACATTCTAGCCACTATGAACTAACAATGTTTTTCCAAAAAATAATTCCAAATATTTTGTGGGTGCAACTTCATAACACACTAGAATCTGTGTTTTACTTACAGAATTAAACCTAGCACAAATTCCCCGAACAAACAAGCCTTGTTACTGAGTATTTTATTTACAGTTACTGTACAAACTACTTCAACTTTCTTAATGCAAATGCTCACCATAATATTAAGCTGTGCTCAATTTCAATTAAATATGATTAGATTGATCAAGTCAGAGAGAATGAGATGGGCAGGACACGTAACTTGCATGGGAGAGAAGGGGAATGCATACAGAGCTTTGGTGAGCAAACCAAAGAAAAAGAGACCACTGAGAAGATGTAGACATAGGTAGGAGCATAATATTAGAAAGGATCTTAGAGGTGGTGTGAACACAGTAATGAACCTTGGGGTTCCATAAAATGATGGGAATTTCTTGAGTGCCTGAACAACTTTTGGCTTCTGAGTAAGGACTCGGCTCCTTGGAGTAAGTAACTACCCAATTTAAATTTACTTAATCCTTCTTTGTAATTTATATGATGGATTATACAATGAAATATGTCAATGCCTTCCCCAATAATTGTTGGTCTGTTAATGAAAACCAATAGCATTAATAAATTCAATACTAGCAACTCAAAGTATTTTACTTGCCAATGCAACGTGTGTGCAACAAACTAAAAAAAAAAATATATGGGAGACCATTCCACAGGCTTACAACCCCACTTTATAGTAAACGTGCATCAAATTTCAATTTTGTTGCTTTAATAAATTTAGGTTATGTATCGTAAGCAATGATCTCATAAAACTCAACATATAATTCCACAACCGTAAGCTTACAAAAAAGCACCAACCTTTGTCTCCACAGTATCAGGTTCTTTATATCCTGCTTCTGCCTTTAACCTCGTTAGAAAACTTGGTTCTTGTGGCTTAATATAAGTTATGCTCCTTTTTGACATTGCAGAGAACTGTTGGATTCAGACATATCACAGCACTAAATTGACTTCGTTCACGTACCACAAAACACCGTTAAAAGCAAAACTCAATCAATTGTAGACCATCCTTACAAACACCCATGTCTACTACCACAACTTCTGGGTTATGTTTATAATTTCATATACGAACTGGTTTCTTATGTTTACATGTAGCCCTTTATTATGAATTGTAGCTAGCGTTTTCCACATCGTTCACAGTAACGTACAGTCTGCACAAGATTCTTGAGTACGGTCTCAAGCACCATAAACATCCCATTGACCACCGCCGGCATATTATATCAGAAAGTAACGGAGGGATGGGAACCACTATAACTATTTCTGCTTTTTTCCCACCCCTCCATTACTCCTATCAAATCAAGCTGAGAAATTATATTAGAGTCGAACACCTGTATCCTTCAACAGCTGCACTCAAACCAAAACCCTCACTTGGTTTATACCACAGATGAACTAGTGTTTCAAAAAGGAATGCGGAAACACAGATAATACGGAAAGCAAACAAAACTACTTTTCCTTCATTTACAATTTCAGCCACTAGATTGCAGGCCATTTAACATCTATATTTTTTCCTGGCCAATTTATCTCCCCTAATCCAGCAAATAAAACAACTGTTCCACACTTTTTAAGGTATTGAATGAATGTCCTTCGAGAAATCACGTTCTGTATAGGATTTGAGGTTTTCACGGCGGCGAGTCTGAAGATGGCTGTCTTTTTTTTTACGCCGGGTAGTTTGGTTGAAGATTACGACGTTTCAGAAGTCCTTGCTGCCTCCATCATCAGGGCCAGACAAGACTACACGGTACAACAATCCAGAAGACAACCATCATCAAATCACTTTCTGCATGAAGTGGAGCAGCAACATAACAAATTATACATTATTCGCCACAGTTGAGGTATTGGCAACACTGCTTCACTTGATTACAGTTGGTTATGCTGCAAATGGGGCGTGGTCTCCCAACAGATACCGGTAATATTTGAAAACTTGAATGGCCGTAAAGTTTGGTGGTGTTATGTATATATATTTGTGAGATTTATAAGTATTCCTGAAGTTAATTACGAAGATCTAATTTAACTATAACTTGAGGTATGAATGTGATTATACGTGATTACAAGTAATGGTTGATAGCACAGACATTACTTCCCTAGACACCTTCTAAACTGTGTATAAATAATATATATAAAAAATACAATATTATTTTTCTTATTCCAGAAACATCTACTGTACTGTTTTCCAACAGGAATATGAACTTCTTATCCAACAATTCAAGAGGGGCTGATGATCTATTTGCAAATAGTAGTGAAGAAACTGTGATTGAGAATTTAGATTTCTCACGTATTTTAGAGAAAGTTAATGTATTGACAACTACTAATCATACTAATACTTTGCTTGAGAATAAGCTCTATGAAGTTCCTGTTGACTTACATGAGGCAACAGTGATAGAAGCAGTACATGGAAAAAATTGCATAACAAAAGAAATTATTGCAGCAGATAAAAGTTTTATAGCAAATCATACAGTTACAAATATTTGCAATTTCCCATTAAAGCTGTATTGTCCATTCTGTTATAGTGACAGTATGTTTGAAAACAGACTTAAAGGACACATAAGAAATGAACATGCAAGTCACCTGGAAAGAATTTCAGTAGATACTAATACAAACTCTCTTCACTCATGCCAGCTCAGTCACACTGCATTTTATACCGACTTAGTAATAAAACACATTCTTCAATGTCATCAGGATAAAATTTTAAGTATGTTTCAGAAAGGAGAGGCAAATAAATACGTAACATGTGGATTTTGCCCATATATGGTATTAGCCGAACATAAACAACATCTTTTAGCACATATAGAACAAACCCACTTCAAGGAATTCAGAATATTCATTAAGCAAAAATTCACACAAATTACACATTGTGAAAAACTGGAAAATACACTTGACTTGAAAAATTCAAGCCTAACTTTTTTGTCTACTTTATTCATGCAAATGAGTACCAAAGAAAATAAAGACACTAAAAAATCTGTCATTGATAATTCAAAATGCAGGTCCAGTCCTCAGTTCAATCAAAATGAAAATCAATTTTCTGAAGAATATGGAATTTTTTTTGATAATAGAAAGGTCAACAAAATTAAAAATGTTAAAAGTGGAAGTGAGATTCCAGTCAGGAGAAAACTGAGGTTTGACTTGCCCAAAACTGGCAAGTTTAATAAATCCAACAAAGAAAACATAATTTCATGTAGTACAAATATGAAATTAGTCACCAAGAACAAACCACGGTCATCAAAAACCAAGTCAGTTTCAACATGGAAATCTGTGTTTTCATTTAAAGGAAAGGAAATCAACAGAAACAAATCAATTTCGAAATTCGTAACAAGTACCCCAAACACCTTCAATGAATTACTGATAGATTCAGTCACCAAGAAGAGGGGAGAAGCAAAGGCGACACTAGTAACTTCCATGAAAGAAGATATTTCTAAAAAGTACACAGATGATGATGATAATGTTCTTCAGACGTATAGCACGGATGTGAAACATGTTATTTTGAAGACAAATCCTAAAACTTCAAAATTGAAAAAGGATCTATTCTGTGGGTGGAAGCCACCTGCTGAAGCATTCAAACAATTTGAATGTGCAATCTGCCTGGATACGTTCGTCAACAACGTTGATTTTCTCACTCACATGAGACGACAACACACCGGTCCTCTGAAACTTCTCCAGCCATCATACAAGTGTGGTCTGTGTAAGGCTAAATTCTACAAGAACAGCTACTTAGTTAGGCACTGCAGGTTTCACCACACGCCTCGATGCCTTAAGAATCAGTAACCAGCCTGAAAAAAAGTTGTCAGTGGAGAATTTGACGTAGATATGTCTTTACGGAAAGGAAGTTTATATATTGGCTTTATTCTAAAATATTTCCTTTATACCCGCTTTACAATTGTGATAAGTTTGATTAAGACATTGATTAAACTTATCACAATTGTAAAGCATGCATGTTCCACTTTTTCGTTCCAATTTTCATTCCATTTTTTGCCGAATGACACTGACCCTAAAATATAGACATATTTACGTCAAAATATGTTGAAAAAACACAAAATAATTATTAAAAAGAAGAAGTCCAGCCAGCAGCCTCATAATATTGAGTTTAAATCCAATATCCAATGCAGTAAAGGTTAAAACTCAAGAATCAAGTCTCTGTGATGTCACATGTTTTATTAATAACAAACGTACTTAGAATCTTTTTTACGAACACATTAATTCTGTATTTATACATGTCAGATATTAAATACTCTTCTGTTACATCACTTGTTTTCCTTTATACACAATACATCAGAATTTTTTTTTTTCGTACGGTACAGAAATTCTGTAATAAATGATCACAGATACCGATTTCAAACTGATATGCGTAGCTGCAAACTCAATCGGATGACATCTTTGGTAAATGCTGTCTCATAAAACATCTGATTAGTGCTACGACCAATTATGGAATTAAGTACAGTAAATAATAATAATAATAATAAAAATAATAACCTGTATTCAGAAGTTGTACTACATGTAATTTAACCTTTGGTTGAAAGTTTGGCTTATTTACTTAACTTAAACTGACTTTCGTCCCGCGCGGTCTGAGGCATCATGCTTCGAGGGAGAAGAAATTTTCTCATGAGTTTTCGACCGGTGTATGGGACCGGTGCCAACCCAGCATCGTGAGGAAATTGGGGGAGCTACAATGAGTAGCGTAATCCGGTCATGGAAACCAGCAATGGCTGGGGGTTCGTCATGTTGACCACACGTCACCTTGTATCTGGTTCGATGATCGTTCACCTCTGCTTAGGCGTGTGAACGTGAGGCTTTGGCTCTCTGGAGCTGTTACGCCACGGATTTAATTTTAATTTTTAAACTGATCTTCACTTTCATGAGTGAGATACAAATTACATACAGTGTTTCTTGTAAAGCGTAAACAATATATTAAATGAGCAGTGGAGATTCAAATGCAATAAGTCTGGCGTTCCTTTATAATAACACCATATAAGTTTATTTTTTATTAAACTTCTGCAGAGTCAGTAAATTATTTCCTCATACACTAAATTAATTTACCTGTTAAATTAAACATGTGGGCTACCAAATGTTAAACTCTCGCTGATCACGTATGGCTCTCGTATCAACTATTCCACGGTTCTATATTTTTGTCTATTTATAAATAAATTCTTATTGGCTGAGTGAAGCAGAAACCGCTATATGACGCATCCTGTCTCCACGAACTCAGGGTAATATTCTCTGAACACCATTGATTTGATCTTAAATTCATGCGTTAAGGCTGATTCACCATCTTCGTACATTCACTCAGCCAATTTCACTAGTACGCATATTATTGTCAGCTTCGACTTCGTTATCGATATCTTAAAAAACAAAAACAAAATACATGACTAGCGTAACTTAAGAATACTTACTATGCTGTCTTCCTTTTAGAACTTTTGCAGCTTTATTAATATATGTACTCTAATGTATTGTTTAATGTCACAGACGTGTTACTTCAGCCCCCCCATTCTGTGGATTTTTCTTGTTGTCTGTTTGACTAGCTTTGTTTTGTAAATTTTGTTGCTGATGGTACATGTTCCCATGATTAGAATCAACAGCCGACGAAACATTGGGACTTGACATCGGGAAGAACCTCGGGGCGTGACCAGAACCATCTGCTACGGGTGACGTTATGTCTAAACAGTCGCAGCTGAGACTCGAGTCGGAAAGTGCGGGATCCACAGCGTATTTTGGAAGCAGCAGAAGGCTCTCTGTTGATTTTGTTGGCTGCACATAGCGGTGATGATGCTGTCCGTGGCCGTACAGATTAACGACAGTGGAAGTCATACCCTGGAGGCGTCTGTCTCCGCTGCGGCACTGCTGCGACGAGCTCCCTGCCTACAAGCATAAAAATACCAAGAAATGTGTCCGTGTATGTTCTTTTGTTTTCGAAGTCCCTCAAACCAGACTTATATCTGGTTTCGATGCACTGATAAACTGGTTCAGCGTTTCATCTGCACGGTCCTCATTACTAAGTCTCGATGGTAACATTTCCTTCTGTGTGATTTTATCAATTATGAAGCAATTTATGACTTTTTTTTCCTTGCCATACATAATACATTTTATTCACGACATAAAAATGTACTCGACACCAACTCATACTAAATTCTCTAGATTTTGGAGAAATGGACAATGGCCAACGAGGAGGCCTCTGTTTCTAGTGAAGCAACGGGAGCCTTGTTTTCTGACTGCTGTGGTGTTTACAAAGAAATATGGTGTTCACATATCTGGTAACCCTTGTATAAACATCAAACATGTCTAACAAATTTTAAGCACTTAAAAACTTCAGCGACGCCAATTCCGCAAGACACCAAATCCATTTTCCATTTTTTTTTTTCTTTCTCTGAAATAAAATGGCTACGCTGAAAGTTGTAATATCTTCAAAGATTCGACATCACACAAAAAATCTATAACCCTTACTGAATGACTTTCATTTCAAAATTTTGAAAATCTAAAATTGAAGAAGAAAATTTAAATAAGTCTCACTGACTTCACGTCACGAAATGTATTTTCAGGAAACAAGGCTGTAGCGATGTAGAAGCTACAGGTAACACAAAATGACATTTTGAAGACAAATTAAGATTAAATACAGTTTTTTTTGTAAGCAGCAGCCACTAGTAAGAAAGCAACTCTAGAAGGAGCCGTCTGATCGTTTGAGCGACAGCAACGAAATCTACGCGTACATCGCACGATGCAGAAGATCTGTAAGCCCTAACAAGCATTTTAAAATTAAATCCTTATCGTCCTGTTAGGAAGCAAAAAGTGCAGGTAGAATTAAGATGTGCGTAACGTAAAAGCATGATTTTTACAAAAAAAGTCATCAAACAATAAAGAATCTGAAATGTCATACCATATTTTTCTCCACATTTAATTGTAAATGAGTAATTAATAGTATTATACCTTGTATCAAGTTTATTACTGATATTAAATGTGCGTAATTAAAAAAAAATTATAACAAATTAAATATCTGAACGAATATTCCACGACCAAATTTGAATGAACGTTCCTAGAAGTTTGACAGATTTTCTTTTATTATAATTAAATTATTTAAAATGGATTTACTTGAACTGACTAATAAGGATCATTATTTTAATAATCAAGAATTTTATAAATAATTTATTTGTGGTTTTGCGTTACGTCAGCAGCTGATACTACACAGCGTCAAGAGATATATTTTTAACGAATGAACCTGCAAGGAAGGACTGAGGAAAACCATGATCCTCACTAAAGATAGCTGGTCCCTGGGCCAAGATTTAAATGGATCACCCAAATAGGCAGGAGTGCCAACCTGTCAGCCATTATATTTGTTAAGAACTTACTGAAATTCTGAAAAATACAACAGAATTATTGTAATTTTATGAAATGTTGATTAAGACCTGTTTATCTGTTTGCGTAACATTTAACTTTACGTGAAGGAAAGGATATTTATTAGATTAAGAGACCTGAAAAGTACAACTCATGCTATAAAAGTTGGTTGCACTGTCAGTCTTGAAATTTTGCTAGAAGAGAGATTAAAAGAGATTTAGCAGCCACCCTACTTAGAATATGTTAATTAATTACAAAAACATCTCTACGCTAGCTTTATACAGGCAAAACCCATAAACAGTACCTGGACTTACGAATTACAATAACCAACTTCATTTGTCTCATCGCTCATCCGAATTATACGACGACGTAACTCTTGGCTCGACAAAACATTACGTAGGCTGTTGAGAAGACCCCCTACTGATGGGCAGCAAAATCAGCCATCTTGAAACAAAAAATTACAAAACATCCATCTTTACGACTAAAATGCTGGTTGGTCGAGGACCTTCAAAGTCTGCGGCGTCACAATAAAACTACGGCTAGCCGAGAAACTGACGTCTAAAAATATTAATTTACCCGAATTTAACAACAAATCCGCGTCGACACTCGCGTTAGCTGCGTTTTTAAAATTACAGTTCTGCTCGACATTTGAAATTACCTTGGTGCTGTGCGTGCGGCTGTGACCAGTCTTCCCGCCACTCCCAGTCTTCACGGACGTAGTATCGAGATACCCGTACCCGAATCCGTAGCCTCCGAACGCTTTGGTCGTGAGATTGTCCCAGGACTTTGCGGGCTTAGCAGGATTGTAAGTCGCGAAACCAGCGGCTTGCTGTTGCTGCGAAGTTGAAGGGTACTGGTGTTGCTGGTGATAAGACGAACTGGAAGTTCCTTGTTTGCCCGATGACTTGGTGGAATGATTCCGCACAGCAACGGTTCCCTTGGAACAAAAAATTTGGGTTGAATTTTCAAAAAGGTACGCGTTACGTAATCGCGACATTCATATTCGTAATTTTTCTCGTCAAACAGAAGAATGACCACAAAATAATCACGTAACACAAAAAGTTGACAGTGGAACCACGGTTCCGGAGAATTAGACGTAAATACGTTTTTACGGAAAGGAAGTTTATATATTGGCTTTATTCTAAATGTCCGCTTTACAATTGAGATAAATTTGATTAAGACATTGATTATTCAACTTGAATTAGTTACGATTAAGATGGGTTTGTGGTAGCTGAATTTAATGTAATGTTTTATAGGTAACAACAATGACGAGTAAATAGATGTTCCTTAGGTAACCATTGTTGTCGATTTGTTGATAAACAGATGAAGTTTCCCAGGTAACCATTGTTGTCGATTTGTTGATAAACAGATGAAGTTTCCCAGGTAACCATTGTTGTCGATTTGTTGATAAACAGATGAAGTTTCCCAGGTAACCATTGTTGTCGATTTGTTGATAAACAGATGAAGTTTCCCAGGTAACCATTGTTGTTTATTTGTTGATAAACCATTGTTACACTTTTTCGTTCCACTTTTTGCCGAATGACACTGACCCTAAAATATGGACGTATTTACGTCAAAAAACAATCAAAATGGAAGAAATTAAGATTGTTTAACAGTACCTCGCAGGGTGGGTCCCAGTATAATGTGTCGGTGCTGAGCGAAGTGGTGTATGAGGCGGCGCTACTCTCTCCGCCTGCACCCCCAGGGACCGTGCAACTCAGCTCGCTTGACGTGCAAGAATGCAAACTGCACTGGCTGACAAGACCAGTGCCAAAGTTGAAGTAGCGATGAGCGCGTTGCTGCGGAGGTTGCGACGCCGTGCCGGGGGCGGGCGGGTGCACCGCGGGCTGAGACGAAGCCCGAGTACCTTTTTCTTTCCAACCTGCACAGAACAATTTATTTTAAGCTCGTCAACCGTGAGATTTACGCCAGATCCGACTTGATGGAGAGATTTCAGTCATCTCATTCTAGTTTTTCTTTGTGGCTTTAAAAATAAATATCTCATAGAGCGGATTACCTTTTGAATCTGACTGATTCTTGGAGGTACTTTTGTGGCCATTCCGATGTTCCTTGTGATGACGTGATCGCCTCCTAGCAGAAGGAACGCAATGCGGGTCGCAGCACGGACTGGCCAAGTCATAAGCTTCCAGACTAGAGCTGTCTTGGTTGCTGGCCTGGACGCACGGGTTGCACAGATGGTGAGACTGGGAAGACTGGTGATGCTGCTGCTGATTCTTACCGTGACCGCCGCTCCCCGAACCTTTCGAACACTTATTATTGGAGCCTGAGACAAATAATTTAAAACAAAATATACATCCAGCGCATGTTTAAATTTTCACGCAATTAACACAAAACCAGATGTAACTTTGACGATAAAAATAAAAAATTATGAGCATTTATGGGTGATTCTGACATCCTCATTATCAGACATTTTCGAAAAAAAATTGTATCGCTATCTTCAAGACAATGACCAAGGGGATATTTACTCTGGAAAATTACAGACGACGACAGCTTTTTATTTCTGATGATATATTTAGTAATTTCCAGTTATTCAGAGTACGTATGTAGAGAGGGAGATAAAAATGTAGTCTACATGTGCCAAAATACCAGCCGTCACACGAGAACTGACCGGGGCCGGCTGCTGCAACACCATTGGTTTGGTGGTAACCCTTGGATGCCCCATGTCGTGTTGGAGCCTCGCACGAGCTCTTCACGACCACGGACTGATGATGGCTGACCGCGTCGCTGTGACTGTGCTGCTGTCGTGACACGTGACCTGCCGGCCAGCCGACGAAGTACTCGCCACTGCTACTCGTCGAGGGCTGCAGCATGTACGCTCGATACCGCGGATCGAGGTATTGGTACGAGAGTAACAGCTGTTGTGTCTGCGGTTGGTGCTGCACCTGGAAAACCATTCCAACTTCCGCGTACACGTAAAGCACTTCCGGAATTACACGAACTGTCTTATTAATTATATTATTTTTACATCTCAGGAGAAATTATGTTGTTGAACGATATTTTGATGAATGTGGTTTGTGAAATGTCACGAATTGAATAAAATAACTATTGATGAATGTGGTTTGTGAAATGTCACAAATTGGATAAAATAACTATTGATGAATGTGGTTTGTGAAATGTCACGAATTGGATAAAATAACTATTGATGAATGTGGTTTGTGAAATGTCACTAATTGAATAAAATAACTATTGATGAATGTGGTTTGTGAAATGTCACAAATTGGATAAAATTGGATAAAATAACTA